ATTTAGCTGTTCAAGTCATAAAGATTCATTGAAAATCAATATACTTGTTCGACTCAAGACCTTAAACACTGTATAAATTTAAAATCAATCAGATATTAACTTTAGCCTCTAGAGCGTCCTCAAGATTTTTGGCAAAAATTATCGGAAATCGCTAAAAATCAATAGGCTTCTTCGTCTCATGACCTTAAACACTGTGCATAAATTTAAAGTCAATTGGATATTAACTTTGACCTCTAGAACGTCCACAAGATATTTTGAAGTGATCAAGGGCCATAACTCTGGCAGTAATTATCGAAAATCGTTGAAAATCAATAGGCTTCTTCGTCACATGACCTTAAACGCTGTGTATAAATTTAAAGTCAATCGGATATTAACTTTGACCTTTAGAGCGTCCACAAGATTTTTCAAAGTGATCAAGGGCCATAACTCTGGCAGTAATTATCGAAAATTGCTGAAAATGAATAGACTTCTTCGTCTCATGACCTTAAACACTGTATGAATTCAAAGTCAATCGGATATTAACTTTAGCCTCTAGAGCGTCCACAAGATTTTTTGAAGTGATCAAGGGCCATAACTCTGGCAGTAATTATCAGAAATCGTTGAAAATCGATAGGCTTCTTCGTCGCATGGCCTTAAACACTGTGTATAAATTTAAAGTCAATTGGATATTAACTTTAGCCTCTAGAGCTTCCACAAGATTTTTTGAAGTGATCAAGAGCCATAACTCTGGCAGTAATTATCGGAAATCGCTGAAAATCGATAGGCTTCTTCGTCCCATGGCCTTAAACACTGTGTATAAATTTAAAGTCAAACGGATAGTAACTTTAGCGCGTCCACAAGCAATTGTGGACGCCGGACCGATGGACAGACGCACAATATACGACCACATTTCAATGTGGGCGTATAAAAATGTTCATACGTTTTTCCGCCAAATGGAATATTTTATCTGCCAAAAATGTGTGATAAAAAAGACAACAATTTTATGTCTCAGCTAGGCTTATTAAACAAGGAGTAGGGTCGCTTGTCCAGCCTCGTGGGTTTTCTCCGGGTCCTCCGGTTTCCTCCCACTGCTAAAGACCCCTACGCGCAAGCGAATTATTGAAATAAAATTAAACCGTATGTTAGTCCCGAAATGACCTAGTTTGTGTCGAGTTAAACCCCATCTCTCTATGTTTGATTCTGAAAATAAACGCATAATTCACATTGTTCTCTGGATATTACTTTTGACACTATTGAAGTGTTTACCAAAAATTCCATCATTGTTGTATTTTGGTGTTTTAGATAAACACAATTTTGTTTTTTTAGACACTATTATTAATTACGATTCAGAGGAGGATCCTCTTAGGTTCTTGCAAAAAATGACAAATTTCTAGCCCAGAAAACAATATTGCAGCTCCAATTCCTTGGTTTGGATGACATATACGGCTTTATACTGTATTTATAACTTCCTGTTTTATGTATGAACTTTGTATACTTTTTCACATTCTACTAGTCTAGGCTAGTTTCTTGTTTCTTGTACTCATTGTTGTATTTTGGTGTTTTAGATAAACACAATTTTGTTTTTTTAGACACTATTATTAATTACGATTCAGAGGAGGATCCTCTTAGGTTCTTGCAAAAAATGACAAATTTCTAGCCCAGAAAACAATATTGCAGCTCCAATTCCTTGGTTTGGATGACATATACGGCTTTATACTGTATTTATAACTTCCTGTTTTATGTATGAACTTTGTATACTTTTTCACATTCTACTACTACTAGTCTAGGCTAGTTTCTTGTTTCTTGTATTCATTGTTGTATTTTGGTGTTTTAGATAAACACAATTTTGTTTTTTTAGACACTATTATTAATTACGATTCAGAGGAGGATCCTCTTAGGTTCTTGCAAAAAATGACAAATTTCTAGCCCGGAAAACAATATTGCAGCTCCAATTCCTTGGTTTGGATGACATATACGGCTTTATACTGTATTTATAACTTCCTGTTTTATGTATGAACTTTGTATACTTTTTCACATTCTACTAGTCTAGGCTAGTTTCTTGTTTACTTATCACCTACAGTGTCCTGATCATTGATAAATAGTGGATTTTAAAGCATCAATTCACTGTTTATATTTAAAGGCATACAAATTATAAATTTAACAACTTTACAGGACGAATTTGTGTCCTCACTAAATTTGACCTAATAATTATGGAAGTGCTGAATCATTACGGATCAAAATGAACATGCGGGAGGGTCATGAGAAACAGACGATTAACTGCGGCGTAACTACTTTTAGTTTTGTCAGTCAGCTTATATTTATAATTCTATTTTCAATAAAACAATACAAAGACACTGCCAACTGACATCTACCGTGGATGCAATTATTAACTAATAATAAGTGTTAACAGTATTAGTGCTTTCCGTGGATGCAATTATTAACTAATAATAAGTGTTAACAGTATTAGTAAAGCACTATCGGTAACAATAAGTTAAAGGCAAAATCTTTAATAGATGGTATAATATTGCTGGAATTCAATACACTTCTCTAGGTGTTTTTACGAGAAAACAAATCGGTTTCGATTACCTATCTCGTTTTGTACAAAGACATAGGTCTCGAGTTGGTATTCGAATCGGTTCTTGTAAACGGGATGAGTTGCCTCGCAAGATCGATGAAGACTGAAGAATTAAGGAAAAATGTTAAACAAAATCACTTTTCTTTATTATGTTCTTGGCGACACCGCCCAAAAATAAAAATGAAAAGTTGTACCAGTTGACTGTCCCCAAATGCCCCGTATTTTCTATTAGGAATGTCCATAGTATTCATATTTTAACGTGAAATTCAAAAGAAAATGATTTAACGTTGGGCACGTTGTGTCCCTTGTTGGGGACGCCATCTTGGAAATCGAATTGTCAATCCGGCAGGCGCGCAAGTTGGAAGATTTGCATAATGGATTTGGCAAATCGTCGTGGTAAATACGACAATTAGGTGAAACCGATTAGGCTAATTTTTGCCGTAAATGTGTTTGGAAAGGAAATGCAAATCAATTAGCCCTAATCGGTTTCTCGTAAAAACGCCTTTTGTTTCATTAATTTGAATAATGCATACAGCCTTTGATATTAACTTTTGTTTTTAGAGCATTCACAAGGTTCTTCAAAGTGAAACAAGGGCCATAACTCTAGAAATAACAAGCCAACAGTGAGGCTGATGTCCCCCGCGAAATCCCCAAATAAATAGATGACACATATTAATCGCACATCTATTTTTTTCAAAAGTATCGAGCAATCAAACTGATTATCAACTGTACACTAAGTTTCATCACTCTCTATCAGATAGAATCAAAGTTATCTTGTCCCAAAGCATCGACCAAGGAAATTGCTTATCTCTGCTTAGCTTTAGCTCGATATGTTAATCATTGAATTCGGTCAAGACGAACATCAACATCAAGTTAGAAGCAGAGTTGTTATGTTCCAAAGTCTTGACCAATCAAAATGCTTATTGCTCCTTAGCCTAAACAGACAATTCTCATCATCGAACTTAGGCAAGGTATTGATGTAATGAAACTATACACCAAGTTTCATCACTCTCACTTAATTAGAACTAAAGTTATCGTGTCCCAAAGCATCAACCAATCAAATTGCTTATCTCTACTTACCCTAAGCAGAAAATGCTCATCTTCGCACTTTATCAAGGCATTGACCTCATAAACACCTACACCAAGTTTGAACATTCCAGCTCAATTAGAAGTAGGGTTATTTTGTTCCAAAGTCTCGGCCAATCAAATTGCTTATCAGTCTGCTTATCCTCAGCAGAAAATGCTCAATATTGAACTTAGTCAAGGTATTGATGTAATGAAACTATACACCAAGTTTCATCACTTTCACTTAATTGGAACTAAAGTTATCGTGTCCCAAAGCATCAACCAATCAAATTGCTTATCTCTACTTACCCTAAGCAGAAAATGCTCATCTTCATACTCCCATCAAGGCATTGACCTAATAAACACCTATGCCAAGTTTGAACATTTTACCTCAATTAGAAGGAGAGTTATTGTGTTCCAAAGTCTCGGCCAATCAAATTGCTTACCCCTCTGCTTACCCTGAGCAGAAGATGCTCATTATCGAACTTAGTCAAGGTATTGATGTAATGAAACTATACACCAAGTTTCATCACTCTCACTTAATTAGGACTTAATTTATCGTGTCCCAAAGCATCAACCAATCAAATCGCTTATCTCTGCTTACCCTAAGCAGAAAATGCTCATCTTCGAACTCCATCAAGGCATTGACCTAATATGACCAAGTTTGAACATTCTAGGTCAATTAGAAGGAGAGTTATTGTGTCCCAAAAAGTGTGACGGACCGACGGACGGACAGACAGACGGACGAAACCCATTTTAATAGTCCCCTGTTTTCTTCGAAAGGCGGGGGACAATTGACTTCTTAGTCTCACTAATGTAATATATAAATGATCGGATGATAAATGTAGTACATGTACATGTATGTAGTCTTCACTAGAAATTGTGGATGATGGAAAAAGACGATTAACTGCAGTGTAACTACTTTTAGTTTTGTCAGTGGGCTTATATTTATAATTCTATTTTCAATAAAACAATACAAAGACACTGCCAACTGACATTTACCGTGGATGCAATTAACTAATAATAAGTGCTAACAGTAACAGTATCAGTAAAGCACTATCGGTAACAATAAGTTAAAAGCCAAAATCTTTAGATGGTATAATATTGCTGGAATTCAATACACTCTTTTTTTTCATTAATTTGAATAACGCATGCAGCCTTTGATATTAACTTTTGTTTTTAGAGCATTCACAAGGTTCTTCATAGTGAAACAAGGGCCATAACTCTAGAAATAATTAACTTCTTAGTCTCACTAATGTAATATATAAATAATCGGATGATAAATGTAGTACATGTACATGTATGTAGTCTTCACAAGAAACTGTGAATGATGGAAAAATTTACTTGTCATATTCACAGTCAGTTATCAGCAAAAACTCACCTTTCCAGCTACTCTCAGATGCTGTAACCTTGGTAACAGGTGACAATCAGAAAAAGAAAGGACATCATCAACCAGAAACTTGGATTCATGTGAAGCTAGAAATTCATCAAGTTTCTTCAATTCTGCTAGCATCGTGGTATCTGGTTTTCCTTGTAAATAGTGATTAAATGTCTGCAAAAGATAACACCATTCTGAAATAACTTGAAAAGGACACCTTCAATAAATCTGAACCCTTATGTTCACAAGGTTTTTGGAACAAATCCATTAAAGACTGTAGCCTCATGTTTTTGATAAAAGTAGGTGGAAAAGGTGATTTTGAGATTATAATTATACATATGTTCTTATTAGTTTTTCAAGTAGATCTCGTCATTCTTCTAAAAAAACTTTTTACAGATTCAAAATCGGACGAAAATTATTTTTTTTATTGAGGCTCAAAGTTGCAATTTTTGACTTTTCGCAAAAGAAAGGTTTTTCAACGCTTTGAAAAAGTCATTTTTGGTGTTTTTTGTGATTCCATATTTCATTTCATAGCAAAAGGACACCTTCAATAAATCTGAACCCTTATGTTCACAAGGTTTTTGGAACAAATCCATTAAAAACTGTAGCCTCATGTTTTTGATAAAAGTAGGTGGAAAAGGTGATTTTGAGATTATAATTATACATTTGTTTTTATTAGTTTTTCAAGTAGATCTCGTCATTCTTCTAAAAAAACTTTTTACAGATTCAAAATCGGACGAAAATTAGTTGCGATTTTTGACTTTTCGCAAAAGAAAGGTTTTTCAACGCTTTGAAAAAGTCATTTTTGGTGTTTTTTTGTGATTCCATATTTCATTTCATAGCAAAACTAATGAAAATGTAGATGTAAATTCATGAAATACAACATTACGGCTAATTATGTTTCAATTTTCACATTTTTGTAACAATTGCTCAGATTTCCCCAGCAACTCCAAAATGCATAGGTTTTCTCAAAACTTTCATTTTGTCAACGTGATTTCGGTCAATTTTTTCATCAAAGATAGGTTGCCAGGCAACGAGACATACGCCCACAGCAGCTAAATCGTCCGACCGGTTGTCGCATATTTATTCCTTTGTAGATAATTGGGGGCATTTACAAGACAGTTCCATACAGATCAGATCATAATTTTTGCCATTTGAAGGTTCACAATGTTCTACAAACTGAAACAAGGGTCTCAACTCTGGAACCAGTAATCTACAGAAATTGTTGAAATTTGACAAGCTTTTTCATTTTACTAATTTAAATAATGCATCTAAATTTCATACAGATCAGATGATCATTTTTGTCATTCAACCGTTCACAAGGTTCACAACCGCCATAACTCCAGAAATTATTGACGGAAATTGCTGAAATTCAATTTGACAGGCTTTTTCGTTTCACAAATTTAAATGATGCATATAAATTTCATACATATCGGATGATAACTTTCATCAATCAAGCATTAACAAGGTTGAACAAAGTGAAACAAGGGCCATAACTCTAGAAGTAATAAATGGAAATTGCTGAAATTCAATAGGATTCTTCTCTTTACTAATTTAATTGACGCATGCAAATTTCATACAGATCGGCAGATAACTTTTGATGTTAGAGCGTTCATAAGGTACAAAGATAGGTTGCCAGGCAACGAAACATACGCCCACAGCAGCTAAATTGTCTGGGCAGTCAACAAGAGCTGTCGCATATTTTTACTTTTTTCGGTAATGAAACATTTATAATACACTAAAATCTGATTAAGAGCAACAACTCATGACATAATTATCAGAAAACCATTAGAATTTGTTTGGTTTTTATAAAGTTCTGCCCCATGCTAACGTTTTGTGTACAAAACTTTTAATATCATGGATTTAGCTGTTCAAGTCATAGAAATTCATTGAAAATCAATATACTTGTTCGTTTCAAGATCTTAAACTTTGGGTATCAATCTGATGTCAATCGGATGATAACTTTAGCCTATAGAGCGTCAAAAAGTGATCAAGGGCCATAACTTTGGCAGTAATTATCGGAAATTGTTGAAAATCGATAGGATTCTTCGTCTCATGACCTTAAACAATGTGTATAAATCTAAGGTCAATCGGATATTAACTTTGGCCTCTAGAGCATCCACAAGATTTTTTGAAGTGATCAAGGCCCATAACTCTGGCAGTAATTATCAGAAATCGCTGAAAATCAATAGGCTTCTTCGTCTCATGACCTTAAACACTGTGTATAAATTTAAAGTCAATCAGATATTAAATTTGGCCTCTAGAGCGCCCACAAGATTTTTCAAAGTGATCTAGGGCCATAACTCTGGCAGTAATTATCGGAAATCGCTGAAAATCAATAGGCTTCTTCGTCTCATGACCTTAAACACTGTGTATAAATTTAAGGTCAATCGGATATTAACTTTGGCCTCTAAAGCGTCCACAAGATTTTTCAAAGTGATCAAGGGCCATAACTCTGGCAGTAATTATCAGAAATCGTTGAAAATCAATAGGGTTCTTCATCTCAAGACCTTAAACACTGTGTATAAATTTAAAGTGAATCCGATATTAACTTCAGCCTCTATAGCGCCCACAACCAATTGTGGACGCCGGACCGCCTGGCCGGACGGGGGCGACAACAATATATAACTAAATTTCAATGCGGGCGTATAAAAAGCATCAACCAATCAAATTGCTTATCTCTGCTTACCCTAAGCAGAAAATGCTCATCTTCGAACTCCATCAAGGCATTGTCCTAATAAAAATCTACACCAAGTTTGAACATTCTATACTGAAGTCCAAAAGAAAGTACATGTATACACACTAAAAATATGACTAAGTTTTGTTTAATCAAAAAAATGTGATAAAACTACACTGAACACGTCTAGTGCGTCCAAACTCAAGGTTCAACACAGTGAAACAAGGGCCATAACTCTAGACATTATAAACGGAAATTATTGAAATTAAATAGGATTCTTCGTTTCCCTAATCTAAATATTGAATATAAATTTCACATAGATCGGACGATAACTTTTGGCATTAGAGCGTTCACAAGGTTCAACAAAGTGAAACAGGGGCCATAAAAACGTTAAACGTTAAAAACGGAAATTATTGAAATTAAATAGGCTTCTTCATCTCACTAATGTAAACAACATATATCAATTTTAAAACAATTGGATGATAACTTTTGGCCGGGCCGACGGATGGGGGCGACGGCAATATACGACCACATTTCCATGTGGGCGTATAAAAACGAGTTTGCAAGGGTAAATTGAACCCGTAGCTATAAAAACGACCAATAATATGGATAGGTTGAGACAGTATTGGAACATTTGGATGCTTAAATATTTGTTACTTTTGTTATTATTTTTATGCTTAGTCATTAAAATAAATTAAAATCTAAACAACCTTATTTTTATATTCAGGGCAGGTGTATTTTTCTGTAGGGCTAGCAAATTTTGTCTGACACCTGCCCATGGCCATGGGCTAGTGGTTTAAAAGTGAAATTGTGCACCCCTGAGGGACGGACTGACATACGGCAATATACGACCACATTTCCATGTGGGCGTATAAAAAGCTATGTAGAGGCAGCAAAAGGGGGAAAGATATCAATTTTTTGTGCATTGTTTTGTGAATTTCGTTGGAGCGTTCACAAGGTTCAACAAAGTGAAACAAGGGCCATAACTCTAGATGTAATTATCGGAAATTGCTGAAATTCAATAGCCTTCTTCGTTCTACTAATTTAAATGATGTATATCAATTTAAAAACAATCAGATGATAAATGTAGTCTGTAGAGTGTTCCAAGAAATTGTGGACGACAGACAGATGGGGGCAACAGCAATATACGACCCAGTCCATGCGAAATGATATTTTTTTTACTGGACATTTGGGCAGGTATTATTCCAACTATTACTGGACCGAATGAGATTTTACTGGTCCAAAAAAGTTCATACCAAAAATATGCATAAAATAAGTAATAATGGCCTAAAACTCGAAAAACAACAAACAGTATATATAAGGGGGAAAATACTTTACTTTATTACAAAGATTATCTATTGTATAAAGACTTTTTCGCACACTTCCTTAATTGTCATTTTGTGTTAATGATAACAATAAATAGACCGAGCAAAGAAAATATAATCCCTTAGATGACAATCGAGTCTACCAGAAGCCAATGTTATTAATACAATAAAAGGACTTTCGTTTTAGTCTGGATTAACCTACATGTAGCCTACTACTTACTAGACTAGCTCGATATACGGTACTACATGTACTTACTCGAGATAAGATTTTGTTTACATTTTAAACAACAGTGAAATTAACACAATAAATTCAACAGTCCGTGCACGAAGTGCCGTCAGTCAGTGCCAATACGGCGATGATTTAATATCTGTAAGTTGAGTGTCCGTTAACCCGTCCACAAGCAAACCCGTCCACGGTTAAGGTAATACCGGTACTTGACTTGTATATTATTTAATTGATTAGAATAGATCAGTTTTACTCATTGGTTGTTTATATTGTTTTATTTACCTAATAATCAACTAGCTTGGCTCGCCATCCCGACAGCGATTAGTTCGAGTTCAAATTCTTTATTCCTTTAAGCCAAAGACTCATCAGGTATAACATATAGTATAAATAAATACAACATGTACACAAACAATATAGTTCACCGATGTTTTTGTAATAAAGAACAATAGTATTGTTTGTTGATTAGCGTTATGATTTTAGACAAAATGGTAAGGTCACCAATGTTTTTGTAATAAAGTAGACCCGTATTGTTTGTTAATTGACTTTATCCCATGATTTAATAAATTGGCGATGGTTGATATTGGGTCAAAAATAATTTCTTAAATTGCGCCGGAGCCCCTTTTAGATAAATTGAATTCGCATAAAAACAACAAAGAGTGGCTACGTGCGATTTTATTCTTTGATCTTTGATACACGGGACATTTCCGTTATTCAAACAAATCTACACGAGAATGACAACATACAAGTTGACAGTTACCATTGATTTGGGGTTCATGTAGAATAGGCTCTTCTATCGAGCCTACAGTTATTCTTTTCTAAAATAAAATGAGTGCCTTGGATTTTTGTGTGGATTTGATAGCGGTTATAGTTTACTAATATTCTCTGACATCGGAGACTTGTTTCGCTTTCATTTCATTTTTGCGGTAAGCACGAGCTTCTTATGTCT